AAAAAAAAAAAAAAAAAGAAGAAAAAATCTGCTGCCAGTCTCTTTAAACCACAGGTGTCTGCAGGTTATAACTACCTGGTTCCCTGTGATCCAGGTATGCAGATAACCCTCTCTCCTGGGTGAATCACCTTCAAAAGGGAATAAGAACCCAGAAAACACGAGAGGGTAGTGTGAGAGAAAGGGAGTGGATCCAGGCAGTCTGTGAGACACAGTCTCTTACTGAATACTTTGTATGTGCTTAGGGTTAAACTAGATGCTGCAGGTTACTCAAAGTCCAGAGAAATACTTCTATCCTTAAGGACCTTATGGTCTGAATAGGGAGAGAAGACTTGCTGTGGTGAATCTATTTGAAAACAGTTCATCCTTAAAGGAATCAAATGTTTATGTATCAAACAGCATACACACCCCAACATATAGCTTATTCTTATACATATGGAAACCAAAGTAGCTACAGGCACCCTTGAAGTTCCAAATTGCTTTGATCCCTTTTGAAACCCATTCCCTAACATTCCCAGTTCCATGCCATGTAGAAGTCTATGGTGGGTGTCCAAAGATTTCCTCTAATTCCATCCTTTTCACGTCTGACCACCGCAGCTGCTAGCTTTGTTCAAACCTTATGCAGACCAGATAAGACACTCTGACTCTTCACTGGGAACACAACAACAATTTACTCAGAGAACTCATGCCAGTAGTTGACACTGCAGAATATTTTTATAGGGTTTCCGCATGCACAAGGCATACAAGTTTCTACCATCTGTCTGAATGAATGGGGTCTGTCTTTCTCCCATTTCTGCTCCTCACCCCCCCTCCTTGCTGTGCCCTTTCTAAATTTTTCTCCCCCTATTATGCAGAGTAAATTTGTTTCTCCTCCAAAACTTGATCATCTGCAAAGACCTAGGCCTTTCTGGCAATAGACTGGGGCAGAGGGAATTATAATGGCGACGAGTGCTCATCGCATACACAGACCTCTGATTAAAAGAAATCTTGATGGGTAATCTATCAAGATAATACATATAAATAAACATGTATGAAGAGAATAGGGCTGGCTGGGTGCGGTTGCTCACACCTGTAATCCTACCACTCTGGGAAGCCGAGGTGGGTCGATCATGAAGTCAGAAGTTTAAGACCAGCCTGACCAACATGGTGAAAGCCCGCCTCTACTAAAAATACAAAACTTAGCCCAGGCATGGTGGCACATGCTTGTAATCCCAGCTACTTAGGAGGCTGAGGCAAGAGAATCCCTTGAATCCAGAAGGCAGAGGTTGCAGTGAGCCAAGATCGTGCCACTGTACTCCAACCTGGGAGACAGAGCAAGACTGCGTCTCAAAAAAAAAAAAAAAAAAAAAAAGAGAGAGAGAGAGAAAGAAAAGGGCTTTGACAACTAGGAAAGAGGATGAGTAGTTATGTCTATTCTGCAATGGTTCCAGGTTTCAGAGGCAGCAGGCATTTGCAGTGAAACAGCGCTACTGACCACCGGCAGTAGAAAACCACTGAGCAGCAGGGAAAGAAAGGAAAGGAGACGTGAAAGACCAACCTGGGCCAAAAGTCAGTGCTCAGAGGAGGCTAATCACAAAATAAAACTTCAAGTGTGTTTGTGCAAACACCTAAACTTCTTTGCTCTAATTCAGAGATCTAGTAATAAGCATAATTTTTTTTTCTTTTTAACATTGGATTGTACATCAGATGCAAAATGGTTGTCGAACACAGGAGAACTGAATCCAGTCTCCCAGCATCCCTGTATTCCTTGACCGTTGCCATGTTATTATTCCACTGCCATCCTCATAGGGTTTCTCTGGGGGTCTGGCTGCCTTTCATTGCATTTGCTATAAACTGGAATCATTATTACTGCCATCGTTAACCATTGGAGCCAGCATCTCTGCAGTGTGTCTAATACAAGTGGCACTTTACAATAAATTGCTGGGCTCTGAAGTCTGCATTCATTGCTTTATTTCATTTTATTTTACTTTATTTTATTTTTTTTTGTTTGTTTTCCATGTGTCCTTCTCTTATTTCTTTTCTCTTCTTCCCCTCTTTTCCCAAACTCTTTCCTTTCTCTTTTCTTTTAATCCTTCTGACCTCACCTTTTATTTCTCCACTCCCCCTTTCTCTCCTTTTTTTTTTAATTCTTCTGTCTCTTTCCCTCGTGAATTATTGTCTCCTTTCAGCTCTTTGCCATCCTCCTCCTTTCCTATTTTTATCTTCTCTATCTTTATTGCTTTTTCTTTCTCCCTTCTCACCCCGCCCCATGAGACGCATTTCCATCAGACCTGAATATCCCCAAAGCCTATTTTATATACTTCTTTAAAAGAAAGGACTTTACAGTTTGCTCAGAAAATATTAATCGACATCTCTGATAAATCAAACATGACTGGCCTTTTAATTTTGATTTCCCCCTAGTCAAATGTACAATTCTAATAAACGAATCCTAAGCATAGCAAGAAATACACTAAGCAGGTCAACAGCACTTGGGTTTTAGAGCATGGTAGCAGCTGAAGCAGTTTCAATCTGAGAAAGCAAAGCAACTGCCCTTGGTTTCCTGAACACCAGTTACCTCAAAGCCCTTAAGATCACACACTCATTTCCCTGGAAACAGTTGGGATATTCATTTTTAATGAAACATTTTAAAACTCTCCATACTTTGATTAAAAGGATAAACCATGCGTCAACATATTAAAATGGGCACACTTGTGTGAAAGTAGCTCAACATAGCCAGACACCCCTGCAAATAAATATTAGCAGCAGCATAACTGCACCATTTCTTTCCTTATATGGTATCTCTGATACATCCCCTTGCATTTTCAACACAAATTGTTAAATTGGAAATGAGAGGAAGGGAAGTTAGAGAAAAATCTCCTCCCTCACCTCATCTTACTCACTGAGGCCCCCACACATTTTTATGTCTCGTGCCAGATGCTGAGCTGAGTCTCCAAAGGTGAGCAGCTGATAGAGACAGAGGAGAATATACGACTGCTTGTCCATCTGTAATAAGCCTCAGAATCACCTGAAGGGCTTGTCAAGACACAGATTCCTGGGCCCCATCTTGAAAGCTTATGACTTAGTAGGGGTGTGATTGGGTCACAGAATTTGCATTTTTTTTTTTTTTTTTACAAGTTCCCAGGTGATGCTGATGCTGCTGGTCAGGAGAATCACTGGTTTTGTGCAGGCATCATAAGCTTTAGTGTCACTCAGACTCAGGTCACGTTACTTATTTAGACAGTTCTCTCAGACCCAGGAGACCACATGTCTTTGTCTATAAACTGGCATCATGATAACTAGATTACATTTTTTTTTTTGAGACAGAGTCTCCCTTTGTCACCTAGGCTGGATTGCAGTGACACAATCTTGGCTCACTGCAACCCCCGCCTCCCATGTTCAAGTGATTCTCCTGCCTCAGCCTCACAAGTAGCTGGTCTGTAGGCACACATCACCATGCCCAGCTAATTTTTGTATTTTTAGTAGAGACAGGGTTTTACCATATTGGCCACGATGGTCTCGATCTCTTGACCTCATGATGCACCTGCCTCAGCCTCTCAAAGTGTTAGGATTGCAGGCGTGAGCCACCACGCCCAGCCAGATTGCATTTTTTAAAGAAATAAATATAATAAACATGAAGTTCAACTTAAAAAAAGTTATTATAGTATGGCCCCAAATGGTCAACCTCATTTGTATGTTCCATCAAAGTGGGACAGTCATGGTTGGCCTACATACCTACCAGGGAGTGTTTGAGTTTTGGACTACAGAATTATGTATTAGAAAGGATGTGGAAAATGCAAACTATTATCTACAGATCAGCAGTCTCAAACTTAAATGCATGTTGCAACCATCTGGGGAGCTTTACAAATTAAAAATAGTGGCTACTATGCTTGGTGATTCTGATGTAATTGCTCTCAGAAAAAGCTTAAGCATTAGGATTTACAAAGCTCTTCAAGTAATTATAATGTGCAGGCACGATTGAGAACCACTGAACTAGATATATAAGATAATACAGCTGCAATAGCTCATGCCTATTTTCCTAGCACTTTGGGATGCTAAGGTGGGCAGATCATGAGGTCAGGAGATCGAGACCATCTTGGCTAACATGGCGAAACCCCATCTCTACTAAAAATATAAAAAAATTAGCTGGGCATGATGGCACGCACCTGTAGTCCCAGCTATTCAGGAGGCTGAGGCAGGAGAATTGCCTGAACCCAGGAGGCGAAGATTGCAGTGAGCCAAGGTTGCGCCACT